CTCTGGTCCATGCATTGCAAAATCATTGTCCCCTTCTTAGCAAGTGTGTCAGAAATCTCATTGCCTTTAATGCCATAGTGACCAGGAATCCATTATATCAATGTCTGATAATGGATTCATGGGTAGAGAGAGGCGCCTTCAATGCCACAGTGACCAGGAATCCATTGTAGGACCAGTGTAACCCACAGTGACCAGGAATCCATTGCAGGACCACTGTTTTGTTTTTCGTCTCAGCAGCTCATAGAGTTTTCTACATTCCTTATCTCAGCTGTTTTCAACAGCTGATAGAGGTTTCTACATTCGTTTATCTCAGCTGTTTTAAAGGACCACTGTTTTGTTTTTCTCTCTCAGCAGCTCATAGATAGAACCACTGTTTTGTTTTTCTCTCCCAGCAGCTCATAGCGTTTTCCAATAACCACTGTTTTGTTTTTCTCTCTCAGCAGCTCATAGAGTTTTCACATTCCTTCTTTTATCTCAGCTGTTTTTGGATCTCTGTTTCCACATTAGTTTATTGCTGACTGTGAGTCCGAAAGTATCACGCTCTCTGTTTCCAATTGAGTTTATTGTTGCCTGTGAGTATCTCTGCTTCCAATAGAGTCTATTGCTGACTGTAAGTTCGAATTGTGGGTCCGAGGGTATCACCGCTTTGGTGAATTTCGTATCCAGGCAACATAATTGTCATGGTGCTATCCTAATGGCCTCTATTTCTCCTTCAAAAGCGAGTGCAATCCTAATGGTCTCTATTTCGCCTTCAAATGCGGATATATTGTGTGCCGCTGCTGCGTAGAAAGAGACGAGTTCACCAATGTACCGATGTTTGCTTGGTTTTCTACGTATGACCCATCAGTGGAGACTGGGAGACATTACTCTCCAGGAAAGTTGACATTGATTGACTCAAGGGCCAGTGAGCACATTTGTTCTGGAGTGGTGTTTGACTTCCTGAAGAAATCAAGCAGTTGGGTGCAACAAACTACATCAGTGTCTGCTAATGAATTCATGGGTAGAGAGAGGCGTTTTTGTTTGTCATCGATTTGTAATTCTTTCTTTAGTTCTATGCCTTTCTGAATTAAACCAAATTGCGTTTCCAGATGTCTCGGTCTATTCTCATAGGTGCTGAAGAACTTATCCATGGGAATGCACAGTAACTTCCCATACAGGATCAAGGCCTTCTCTTTGATAAGGAACCTATTGTGGTGCTTCCTGTAACTAGGAGCATTGCATCAATGGGTGTTGGTTTTATCCCTCCAGTAATTAGTCGTAATGCTTGGTTGTGTGCCTTTTCGAGGGGTTTGAGAGTCACTTCTTTGTGGCCGTATCCCTCCATTAATTAGTCGTAATGCTTGGTTTTGGCCGTCTATTCCTCTAGTAATTAGTCGTAATGCTTGGTTGTGTGCCTTCTCGTATTGATATGAGAGTCACCTCTGTGGCTGTAATGAGTGGCTCACAGCATGATAAACATCTTGTAAGCGGTATTGAGAGTTGAGCGCGCACTGTCCCATACGCTACAAGCAAGACGATTCAGTACATTCCGTCTATTAGTGACTCGTTCTGCTATTTTAACAATGTGACTTTCCACGTTAGCTTAGTGTCAAACGTCATTCCGAGATAAGTGAACTTATTGGTTTTTTCTAGGATAGTATCCTTGTACCTTAGAACTTATTGGTTTTTTCTAGGATAGTATCCTTGTACCTTAGAAAATGTTTGGAATGCAGTTTCTCGGTGTTGAATACCATTCCATTGTTGTTTTACCAGTTTGCTAGTTGTTTAAATGCACATTTTGAGCACTTTCTGTTCTCTCCTGAGCGTTTTTCTTAGGGACAGAATACCATAGAACAAGATCATCTGCATAAAGTAGGCACTTGATGCCATTGACTGTCTGTAATTATTCGCTATATCATTGATGCCATTGACTGTCTGTAATTATTCGCTATATCATTGATGAAGACACTGAAGAGTTCAACTTGTGACTGCTCCCTGTGGGAGGCCTGTTTGTTAAAGATTGGATTTTGATAGAGCATTTTCATATCTCATTTTACACGATCTTTGTCCAATGAAAACCTTTTTCCAGTTAAAAATGTTATGCTAAATGCAATATTTGCCAATTTTAGAATTAGCTTCTCTTTCCATACTAAGTCATATGCTGATTTGAAATCGACGAAAACAGCCGTAAGAGTATTTTTTGCATCAAGGGCATCCTTGATGTGTTTGGAGAAAGTGGCTACTTGTTGGTTTTTTGATCTTTGTGGCCTAAAACCTGCTTGTTCACTCCTGAGTAATCCTGCTTGTTCACTCCTAAGAATATTGTTGGTCTCAAGAAACCAGGTCAGCCTCCTGTAAACCAGTCTTTTCATAGATTAAGCCAGCAGGCTTGTGAGGGAGAAAGGTCTATAGGTGAGCCTCTTGTTAACCATTCTTTCCATAAGTTTATCCAGCACGCCAGCACGCTTGTGGGAAGACAGGCCTATAGTTGTCAAAGTTGCTAGGGTATTTGCCATAGGCGCAGTACCGGTATTACTATGGCAACTTTCCATTGGTTAGGTATGAAACTGTTCTCCCAGATTTTGTTGAAAAGCGTCAGTATGGTTTCCTTAACTTTTGGTCCCATTCTAATTAGAAATTCAGGGTGAATACCGTCTTCGCCAAAAGTCTTTTTGCACTTTAAGCATTAAGTTCGCAAGGTCGGAATGGTTCAGTAAATACATTATTTTGTATTGACGTGTCTTCCTTAAATTCATCAAACTGTCTTACTTATATCTTTCAATCTCATGAAGATTTTCAGACAAAAGTGTTTTTCTTTTGCTTCTGGGAATAGAACCTCGCAAAGCAGTAGCTATTTTGGAGTCGGTGTTAAGCAGTTTGTTTTTAAACGTATTGGTTCTTTCTTGGGTCTGTCCCTGTTCTTTTGAGGGTTACTCAGGTATTTGAAAGTGCGTTGGCTATCAATTTGATAGTTGATATTTGAGATGAACTTGTCGAAGGAAGTCCGTTTTGCTTGTAAGATGGCTTGCCATAGTGGAAGTCCGTTTAGCTTGTAAGATGGCTTGTCTTAGAACAGAAGCTGACTGCCGTCTCCAGGCTTGTACGTCTTCCGTTCTTCCAGTCTAACAGTGTTGCGAAGGCCGTCTCGCTTTCCTTTCAATTCCTCAAGGTGTTTAGACCAAAACACTCGAGAGTGTTTAGTCTTGCCTCGGGGAATAGTTTTCTTTGCACATCTGATCATAATATTCGTGATATCATTGCAAAGTTTGTCAGGATGTTAGTAAAAGTTGAGGGAACTTGTGTGAAGCTCATTCTCTAAAAGGTTAGTGAATCTAGACCAGTCAGCCTTCTTGAAGTTCCATGATAGCTTAGTTGGCACTTTCCTTGTCATGCTTTTGCTGGCGATGGTGATGCTAGTAATGACTGGTTTGTGACCAGAACCAGGATCGTCAATTATTTTGCGGCGTGTGTGCTCGCTGATGTCGCTTGAGGCCAAGAGTAAATCAGGAGTTGTTCTGGTTCCATTGTAGTGCAAATATGTAGCCGAATCTTTATTGCTGTAAATAAGTACCAGAGGGTTGCTATTTACCATGTCTTCAATTTCCATTCCAGCAATGTTTGTGTCCTTGTAGCTCCATCTGGAGGAATAGGCGTTGAAGTCCCCTAATACTACAGTTTTGTTGAAATGTTCAGAAAGCCAAAGATGGGACAATTCTGTGGTGGATTATAGACTGCATATATCATGAAGTGGTTTTGAAATTTCCACACATTTAATCTAATTATTTCGCATTTTTGACATTTCAAAGCATTTAATCTAATTATTTCGCATATGTCTTGTGGGCATTCCCAAATATTTAATCTGATTATTTCGCATATGTCTTGCGTCGAGCCCCATATTCTGAATAGGTCGTAGTGTGAGGTGAGTCCATCTTTATTACTCCAGTCTAAGTTCGTAGTATGAGATGAGGCCTTTATTTACTCCAGTCAGAATTCCACTTGCAACTTGCCGGTATTTAGGTAGAAGGTACAGGGTGTAACCTGAGAACTAGTAGTACTTCAGTTTGTCATCCGAAATGTTAGCTTCCATACACTTCAGTTTGTCATCCGAAATGTTAGCTTCCATAGTTGTATTCAGTTTGTCATCCGAAATGTTAGCTTCCATAATTGTGAACAGTTTGTCATCCGAAATGTTAGCTTCCATAATTGTGAAAATGTCTACGATATAGGTATGTAGGATTTTCTGGATTTAGATCTTTTTGTTTCGTGACATCCCTCCAGCATTCCGCTAGAGGATCTGTAGACGTTGTGATTCGCCCTGACGAGAGCGACTTCTCTTATAGCCTTGTTTCAAGCTAATTATAATAAATCGAAATCAAAACGAATGCCGAGTGATAGACTTTTTGTCGTAAGAAAATACGTTGTGCACCACGTGGAGGTAAGTCTGTCGCACACCCCTGATCCTTAATATTAGAAAATGTAATGAGCAAAGGGAACATGTAGAGAAGTGTGTAGAAAATATGCATTGATAGAAAGGCAAATACCTCGAGTGCCAATCTTCAGCGATCTTGCCTGGTAAGTACTTCTTATTTTGCACGCTCCACCTTTGGTTGGTCTAATTATAACATCAAAATTGTCATCGTCCGAGTCCTCACTATCATCCTCATCGGGATAATTTTGGTTTAGGGATAAAAAAGGGTGTGTTTATGGATGCCAGCAAATTTGCTGGATGCTAGGAAGGCTTCCAGTGGATACCATCGCATTCACTGGTATGTAAGGACGAGAAGGAGGAGAAGGAGGAGGAGGAGAAGGAAGAGGTATCTCTGGAGTTGTTGAAGCTTGTTGAAAGTTTCCTGTCGAACAAGTGCATAGAGCTCCTTGGAAATATCGGTTGAATATGCAAGGGCTCTCCAAACGTTTGTCTTGTGGAATAGATGACAGTGGAGTTGTCACCTGTGACAGTTTCAGTTCTAGGGCCTCACTGGTGGAATATTTCGCCATCCATTGCTTCACCGGTTCCTTTGTCTTTGCATTGCCACAATATCTCACTTTCAGCTCATCCAATTGGTGTTTTAAGTAAGTTGGATCATTTAATGCTCTGCCTAAAATGCAAACTTCACAGTCACTTAAACAGTTTTATGAGCGTTGAATTAAAGCGAGAGGCACACACGTAATATGCTTTGTGAGGGGTCTCTAGGAGTGTGGATGAAGAGTGTAGCCTAAAGTGAATAATCATTACCACGCAATTAGAAGGAAACTTACAGTTAACTGACTGCCTGTATCAGGAGGGTTTCGAGATGCCCGTGCAGGAACCTCCACCTCTTCATCCAGCAGTGATTCCAAAATTGGAAATGATTGCGAGGAATTAGTATTGGGGTTGTAGGGGGGGGGGGGGAGTAATTAGTGCGCATCTCTCGAAGATGTTCAGATTTGACGAACCTGAAGATGGGAAGAGCATAGGCCAAATGTGATCAATGAAGAACTGGTCAATGTGCCGATGCATCACACCTTCTTCAGCTTAGAGACTTCTTCTCTGCACCTTCTTCTTATATACTATTTACAAAAGCCAATCAGCGATTGGTGCACTCCTCCAGTCGGGGCCTATTTGTCTTTTGATGTATTTGTTCAGTTGAAAAAGAATGAGTGCTCTTGATCTAGTTCCAGACGTCAGAACTTGAGGCAAAATCTTTACATATCAGCACTAATAGATACTTTGGATGCATCCTTTCCTCAGTGGTGAAATTCATCAAGTCATTATTGGTTGTTGTTGTTGGGTTATAATTGCTACTTCAGAAATGAGATAACCTCGAGGGTACAAAGTTGTATACAGTATGCAATGAGGAAGAGGGGAGGTAATGGTGACATTTCATAAGGTTTTGATTCGAATTCGTGGGCCAATTCTCCTCGCCATCACTCCCACGACTTTCCTTTACCAAACCCATCGTCCCCATCAAATGACACATCCATCTCCCGGATTATAGGCAGACGCCAAAGGATATTCCTGTTGGTTGTATGGAGATTTCCGGCAAATGAATGAACAAGAATGAGAGAGGTCAAGAGCCTCAGTTAGCATACTTTGTTCAAAGACCCAAAGGTTTTTACTCTATTGTGATCAATAAGGATTTTGTTGTGACAATAATTAGCGATTTATGGTAAAGCGATTTGCCAAATCGATTTCGATCAAGTTGGTCAGAATCGGAACTGAAATTGAGGTACAGGAATGGAATATGTTTTCAATATACAATGTACTAGATCAGTGAAAGAATTTTCTTTTTTAGTCGTCAAATTGGTCTCATGAATGTTCAAAACAGACAATCAAATCTGGTCCACTTATCTGAGCATTACTGCCAAGAACACCCAGATACACCACGAACTAATGCTAACACTCTACCTGCCATATCTCTCTTAGAAGTATAGCACTGCAGATCAAACCAATTGGTTTGGAGTAAAATTACTGAATATTTCTTATAGCATTATTAATCTGAACCCAATTGTTAATCTAAACGAAGTCAACCGATTAAACGAGTACTTTCGACTTGGAGAAAAGTCTAAATTTCTTCCTTTGTTCTCTACTTAAAGTGCCTCTGTCTCGTCTCTATTTGTGCACTCTTTGTCTGTACTATTAGCCACAAAATGTACTTTGTCAGTGGAAATATTAGTGATGCAGGCAAATTCAAACTTCTACGAAACACCACTGTGATTGATTTCCACTTGAAATAAGGCTAAAATTCAATCTCCCCATTCTCTCACAAAAGTCGTTCATTTGAAATAAGGTTTTTGAAACTGACTTATTGAATCATTGATTTGAACTTATTTGTTAAGTAAAATGATCTTAACAGTTCTGAAAGTGCCTTCTTTTTCGTTAATGGTCCAAAATTCTACATTTATTCTCTGTTTTAAGAGACTCTTTTCAGACTTCATTTATTCAAAATTACAATAAATACCTTTTGTGGAAAATAATAATAAACTGGACATTGTCAGTCTTTCAGGCAGTAAAATGGTTTGAATTGTCACGTTTTACATAGTTTCATGAAAATGGGAAATTTTTAAGTGAATAATTAAATGGTAGAGTATGGAGACTAGAAAGCTTATATGGGAACTGACAAATGTTCTTCTAAATGTTGGTTGGAGCTAAACGACGAGTATTTGTTAGTGTCAAAGCAGATGTAACATGGAGATCTCCAGCGATTACTGATGAACAACGCCTATCAGAGCCTCTTGACTTTGGCCAACAAACCAACCTCAAATTTCGAGTTTACTGACGTACTTGTTAATTCGTTTGCTTCATCTCAGATGAAATCTTGAAAGCCGCCTTTTTCAATGGGGCGTATTTCTGAATGCGCCAAGCTGTCGGGTAGAATTTCAAATGACTGATGATCCATGATACTCATCATTGTTAATTATAACCCAAGTCTCTAGAAAACTTGCAGGATTCAATTCAAGTTGTGCTACACTTTACTGAGAGATTTCTCAAAGCCTTTAAACCGCTAACGTATATTGTAATTAATTTTATTTTCATTGGCATTCTTACTCACCTACTTCACTCAATCACGAAGAGCGCAATTGAATTCCTATTCTGTCATCAAATCAGCTTTAAGATTGCCAAGGCAATAAAATGACTTTTGGAAAGGAACGTGATGTATAACGCGAACCTCCTTTTACGTTTGAAAAATGTCCAAGTTGGTGGTGTAACGATGCATTCTTTAGGTTTTAAATCAATTTTGCTTCTTCACTTCAACTAGGACATTAAATAAACTCAATGAACCATTCCAGTAATATCGAAAATGTTTTTAGTCGGTTGTCTTCAAAAGACCGACAACCAAATAGAATTGAACGCCAATGAATTGGCGCTTTAATAAGAATCTCAGTTGGTGCTTCGAGTAGAAGTGAACGATGGTGAAACAAATCCCATACTTGCTTTCACTTACTCACAAAAGTGAACGATCGAAATTAAAGTAATGAGGTAGTGAAATTAAAAATTCAATCAATTTTGTTTCATTCAACTAATTGCTCAAACTAATGAAACAAGGTACAGAAAATTTGTGACCAACGTTCACGTCTTTAGAATTTTCGAGAAACGAGCATCTCAAAATATAGCAACCGATTCATTCAGAAATAACTGTAGCGGATTTCTACGTTAGTAAAGCCTGGCTTAAGTCTCGGAAACCTTTGTGATAGATTCCCCCAATTACCGAGTCTAGAGAAGCAGAGACGTATAACCGATACGTTTATTCACTAGATACCGGAGGTGAACTGTGTTTACGCCAGTAGCTTAATCATGATTTGGCTAATCACTGTTTGTACGGTCGCACTTCCCAATCCTGGTGTGCAGGCATGCGATGACGTGCTAAGCTATGACGTTCATATAAGGTTCTCCATCCTGACTTTGAATTGCAGTATATAATTCGGAATTTGGAGTTTAGACGACTGTTTCATGTCACTTTCTGAATTTGGAGTTTCTAAATGGAAATATACATTCAATTACAGCCTTCATGTCCGAATGTAATTTTTACCTAAAATGGTTCCACATCTACCACGACATGTATGATTGTTTGAATCTATTTACTTTAATTGAATAGAACGCATCTCTTCCATCAAAGAAATAAATAGAGGAAGTATACAAATTAAATTTCTAAATACGCTATTTTGCCAATACATCTGATTTAATTCCAAATGCGTACACAGACCAGCTTAAAACATTAGCATTTAGGAAAATTTATCTAATGAAATAATTATTAACCCATTATTACAAAAAAGTTATCATGAAACAATGGAAGGTTTTAAAGTCTGTATTGCTGTAAAATAACAGGTGGTTTATTTAAATCACTCATCACATAATATCGGAGAGTGATACTCAAGTGGCCTTGAGTGAACACAAATTCCAATTGCTCCCTTGCTCGAATCGGCCTGCTCCAAATCAGGTTAATGTTTTCATTGGACCACGTCTTCGGGATCTCATAGGCGTCTAATGCCTAGGTGAGCAAAAGCCTTTCTCCATCTTTACACATTTTAGAATCTGAAAGCAGTTGGAGTAAGGAAAACCAACTCGATTCGTGTCCACTCGTGAGAATGGGCAACGGGAGTACTGGCGACTGCTGCTGAGAGTGAGAGAGATCTTTGCTTATCCCCACGAGGAGTTATTTAGGGCTGCTCTTGGTTCATCAGAGGCAACTGACTGACTTATTGACATTGCGAACTTATCTT